AAAAATAAAAATTACATTTAATTTTTATAAATTTTATATTATACAATTATTATATATAAAATACGATATTGCAGAGATTAAAAACAAATATATGCCATATAATTATTATTAATTCAAAGTGATTAGTTAAATATGATATTTAAGTTAATTAAACATGAATCTAGGTGTGACAAAATCAAAATATACTAAACTTGGTAAAAAATAAAGCTTTAAAACTTTGTCATTTAATTTAGAATCAATACATAATTAATATTAGATTTATAAGATAAAAATATAATAAATAAAAGTATGTTATCTTAAATATTTTATTACACATATAATAATCTATATAAGTATACTTATTTGAGCAAGAAACATATTTGATTTTACAACAAAACTAAATTAATAACAGCGTAAGTATATCTATATTTTAATGTATATAATAATATTGTTTATTCTTTAATGTAATTATATTATGCAACTATAAAGACTTTATTAACACTGATTTGGTTTTTTAAAAATAATCGTTCATTGATTTAAATAAAAGTAAATTTTTTTCAAAATAATTACTGAAATGTATACTCATGATGTATATGGAATTGAATACATAGTTCATAGTAATTGATATAATATATATGTTAATACAGGAAATATATTATTGCAAAGTGCAAACATTATACAGTTTTCGTAACAAATTATAAATTGAATTAGTTTGAAGTGTCAAACTTTGTTTATTAATTATGTATACAGAAGTATAAGTGCAGTGTGACTATAAAGAAATTGTAGAAGAAATGTTTAATTTGCTAACTTGAGCGACACCATAAAAGCAACTATGCCAGGACTATAAGATTAAAAATAAAATAGGTATTCTCGGTATTTAAAAGAATATTTTTATTTAAATTTAAATTTATTATAAAATTTTAACTTTTAAGAAATAAATTTATTTGATACGATGATGTAATAAAACAATAGAAAAATCATAAATATAATGCATTATATATATCTGACTTTTCTCACTAAGTTTATTTTTTTACATTTTAGCATACTTTAAATATGGTGTTTTATATCCATGATCTATATACCGATACTTATGTTTAAATTGGACTTTCTAATTTTGTTTTCTTTTGAGATTTTTCTAAAACAAAAAAATATGATCATTTTTCATTATCAATAATTCAATCAATGCATTTGTTTACTAAATATTAATAACATTTTTCATATCACTGTGATAACCTTATAAATTATTATTAAATTTTGTCAAAAACTAAAATAAAATTGTATCCCTGCATTTTATATCATGTACGGTTATCAATGTGTTGAACTTTGTTAAACGAAAATTGTTATATAATTTTTGTTTGAGCTGTAAACGAAAGTTCAATACCTATCTTATATTATAATGTTTAGTCTAGTCAATACTAGAATTGGAAACTATTTGTAATCCTTAAACCTCTTTGCAGTCTTTGTCTAGAACTAAATTAACGATAATCCTTTGGTGAATGTATTGCTACTTGTTCATGTTTTACACATTTGATTATTCTAAATACATATATCTATATAACCTATAGTTTAATAGTACACTTAATCTCAAGTTCTTAATTTAATCACAGAGTAACTCAAACGTCGAGTCTAAGACATTACAATCAAAACATTTATAGTCGTAATAATAATAATGATTGTCCATGTTTCAGCATTAATATTATTAACAGGCATGTGACTATAAGTGTAAATTTTTAAAACAAACTTTCGAATAACCGTTCGATTAGACTTTTTCCAGTTTATTAATTTTCCAAGTACGACACATTTCTTTTGTCAAGAATTCTATAGAATACTAATCCAAAATAAATTATATTGGCAGTTTTTATCGCCCACAAAAAGTCATTATTTTACAATACGAATAAAATACTTAGAGGGTAAATTACTTATTTGACACAAATTGTATTTTTTTCTTCTATTGAAGAATATATTTACAAAGTCTGTAACATTAATTTATCCAGTTAATTCAAGTGTATTTTTTTCATTCAAATTATAATTTATCGGTCATCAGTCAGTTGTTGGTCCAATAATTTATCTCTCTTTCCTGTGCACTTGATACCAAGCCTAGATAACGTTCTCAGTATTTTACAATAATACGAGTATATCATTGAATTCAAATTTAATACATCCATAACAGTGATCGATTCTATATTTAATGTTTAGTCGAGAGGTGTTCATTTGACTATATTTTATATTTTTTATTTTAATACTCACCTAATTTAAAGCTTGACAATTTAATAAATAGTTCTGACAAGATAATAAAACAAATTGATTAGCGGAAAACTATTATAATTTTGTATGAACATTTGAAAAGTTGAAATGTTGCTAAAATTAAGTATTCAAATATAAAATAAATATGTTTGTTATTTTGATGATATTAAAAAATATATTAATAGTATAGAGTTTTCACGTAAATCACTGTTCACTATACTAACATAATTACATATATTTTTTTTTTTAATATACAGACTAATTTTATACTATTATAAATGTATAAAGTTCATTGTATTTACTATGTTCTACAAATTTTTTTACACTGTACTACTGTATGCCTACTGTACGTAAGTTTTTTTATTTTTTTTATTGAACTTAAGCCCGGCAACTAGGGCCATTAGCTGTTTGTAGGGGTTATGAATTATAGTAAGGGGTAAGGTTGGTACGGTAGGTTGTATTTTTACGATTGTTACGGTTGATAGCAAACACGTGTATGTGTGGCAAGATTTTTAACCACTATGATCCCGAGTGGTCACCCATCCGGGAACTAGTAGCTGTGGCCGTTACTTACTCTCAGTCGCATTCCGCGACTGGTAGCAGATAACGCGCTACGCCAAGCCACAATTTTATTTATTTTTTTATAAGTTTATATTAATAGTTTATAATAAAATATTATAATTATTACTTTACCATTTATATAATAATTAGTTAACCAATAATAGTTTAGGTATGATTTTTACATACTGTATTAACAATTGTAATATCAATAACTATATTTTAAAATATCCTTATAGAAATAGTAACTGATGATTCGTCTCTACTTTAAAGTTTTTTTTTTTTTTGTATTGATTAAAATTATTTTAATTTTAATACATTTATTAGAGGGATCTTTTTAATTTAGGGGAATACTCAAAGTATACTATAAAGAAAAGTGTCTTCTAAGATTTTTTTAAATATTTAAATCTGAATGAATTAAAGCTTAATAAATTTAAGTACGAATATATTTAGTGTCCCCGTTGTGTATTACTAATGCATATTATATTTATTTTTTCACAGATATATAAAAAAATGTAAGTATGAGATACACCGAAGCATATTAAGTTACATTTCTAAAATTATATAAGCATATAGATTCATAAATATTAAATTTAAGTTGAAAAATGTAGTGTTTATTTGTATTCAATATCTATTTGAAATATAATGTTTATATTTTATTGTGTATGTGCGCTGTGCAGTCATGTACGATATTTTTCATATAAATAAAATCTCAATAGCTTATCGGCTGTGTCGTGAGTAGATATATTTTATAAAGTTCTACAATTTTTAAATTACCAATTTTCTGCATAAAAATATAAATACTTAAGAAATAAGATAATAGATAAATTTAATAGCGAAGTAATGTAAATTATTGTTTTTCAAAAACAATGTCTTGTTCATTTTAAATGTACATACAGTATACCTACTTACTATGTAAGTACATTATGTACTTTTATCTCTTATTACAATATTTTTCAATACATAATAAAAAATATTATTATTTATTGACTTAAATGTGAGCCACACATAACCATGATTTATGTCCTTAATTCATAAGTTTACGAATTTATTTATGATTATTGATTTATTTTTGATATTATATTAAAAGTTAACTTACAAATATACTTAAACATAAATATAAAGGAAATACTTTATGGTTTATCTTTTACCTGGATAATTTTATTGATACATATATATTCTCTGTTTTGTGGCTATCAGTAAATTAATAATTTGATATTTTACTAATGAAGAATAATATATATATATATCACTTGTACAATCGATAACCATTTATCGTATTGCATTTTAAGGATTCACTTGAGATATTCCTTTAAATAATTTAAAGTAACACTTCTAAAATAAATAAGATTTATATTAAAGTTACTTAATAGTACTGATACGAATTGTATTTAATATTGTTAGATTATTTAACAAATATTTGTTACTGCTAAAATATAAATATAAAAATTGTATTTTATTGTGTAATTATAATTTGAATACTATAAATAAAAGAAATATGTCAACTGAACTTTATCCAAATGTTATTAATTGTTTGGTTTTAGAAGTTCGTCGAGTACCGATATTATGTTGTATAGATTTAAAAATGAATATTAACTTTTTAAGAGATTAAAATCATTATACACATAGATTAGTAAAAATAATCTAAGTTTTCATGTATTTTATGTAAATATTATCTAATCTAATTTTATTGCTCATTGTTCTAATTATTACTACTTTATAATGTTTAAATTTTCTTCTTCTAAATTAAATTAGATTTATATAAATTGTATACATATTTTAATAATGTATTAATTCAAATTTAATATTGAGAACTATATATCAAACATAACTTAAATGATGTGTGCAAAAATAATCTATTTGTATTGGCATAAATCTGTTTTTCAACAACAACAACAATAATAATAATAATAATAATAATAATTTTAATTTGATTCAGTTATGACATTTATGTAATTTACTAATATAATTAATACATATATTATATTTTGTTTTTATAAAATAAAAATAATTAAAAAAAATTTTTTTTTGTATTTAAATATATATTTTTACATAATATTAATATTATTTGTAATCAATACCACGCAAAAAACTGATCACAAATTTTATCACTGTTTATTTGAAAATGTGTGGCATTTGATACACAATTAAATCTATTTTTGTATGAATTAAATTAGTTGTACTTAAAAAAATAATATTTTATGATACGATTGATGCATTCAGTAATATTATTTACAGACTTTATGAAAAAAGTTGAAAACAAATATAATAAATTATTTTCATATTGAAAATTGACTTAATTATAGGCTTAATAAGATCTACGCATATCCAGACAGGGAGTCAAGTACCAAAGTCTACATTCGTGTAATGATGAATCATATCGGGTTCCTTGTGGACAAACGAATGTCTCTCTGAATCCATTGTAATGACATAAGTGAAAAACCTGAAAATAGCAATTATTTTAATAAGTGCTTTAAAAATTGAGAGAATAATTATTATAATATATAGCTAAATATGTGTAAATAAGCTATTTAATTTAAATTATTTGATATAAATTAAAACATGTTGATTACAACCTAATGATTTCAATTGGGAAATATAAATTGACTATATATTATCGTTAAATTAATTTTCATAGAATTTTTATTAGGCATAGGTACACTATTAATATGAACAGTTTGTCATATAAATGTTTGTAACCTTTGCCATATGACAACTATTTATACTCGTCTTAATAATAATATACGAATGTGTGTGTGTAGTGTGTGTAATGTGTATATTCTTATTTATTTCAATAATTTATAAATTAAATAATTTTTCTTTTTTACTAAAACGTGAATTTTCTTTTTTTATCACTGTTTTGACATTAAGAAAATAATTTTATTATGGAGTTAAATAGAATGACCAATTAATTTTGTTGTCAAATACGCTTGTATAATTTATTAAATTCTAAAAATTATTGTTTTTAAAATTATTCTATTTATGATGGCTAATTTGCATACAAAAATAGGTTATAAAATAACAATATTTCAAAGAATTCATGTATTATTCATTTTTAGAACATATATTGAAACAGTAAATAGCAATGTAAATAAATATATTTTGATAAATTATATAACACTCAAAACTGTCATAAAACACTATTTTCCTTTGACAGTTGATGTATTTTATACTTAATACTAAAAAAATAGTCCAATATAATGTTTCAATTAAAATATTTTACTCTCAAGAATTTAAATTTCTTATATTTTATATGAATAACGTAAGTTAATTCAAATTAATTGTAATATTAATTTATAAATTAAATTAAAATTATTAAAAAAAATATTCTAAACAGTTATCATAAAAATATTTTTATTTTTCATCATTAATTTTATTTCAAAAAATGTATTTTTAATAGAAAAAAAATTATTTTGGTAAAATTTTTTTTATTAAAATAATACATTATAGGTACATAATAATTATACAACATAAAAGTAATTTAATTTGCATAGTTATATTTGATGTTAAAATGTATTTAATTTCACTCAATTAAGTTAAATATACACAAACAATTTAATACAAATTATAAAAAAAATGTTTATGATATATTTGAACAATTTAAAATTGTATTTGAAGTAAAAAGTAAATGTGAGAAAATATATTGAAATAATATGGATCAAAAACAATTAAATTGATACAAAAACTAATTGATCCTCAAATCTTAATTTTTTTATTCTTATAAATCACAATACTAATTTAAATGTAATGGAAACATTTTAAATATGCAATTTATTCGGACTATAGTTAATCATTTTTTGGATACGCATATTATACAACCCTTAATATTATCATCTCATATAACATAAATTATTTATCATATTTTCTTTCAAGATATTAGCTGTATCCCAAAACAACGATACTTTATTGAACTAAACGCGATGCAGACAAGGTTATTTTGAATTCAATTTTCGAATAAAATTATAAGTTGTAACTAATTGTCATTTAATGGTGAATTATTTTGTTGAAGATTGCATCTCAAAAATGCTAATAAAATACAATAATTATAATATGATATATCAATTATTTTTATGGTATTCCATAAATGGAAATGTTTATTTATATTCATAATGTCGTCTTTTTTTCTTTTAAAAATTCGTAGGTATTGCATTTTTTATTATTCCACTTGTGGAGTTGTTGGGGCCAATATTATATATACTTATAGTGAATTTGTAAAGGTTTATTTATGATCACATACATTTAATTAGTATACAATAGATTACGTAGAATAAATTCATAATAAATACAAAACAAGAAGACTGGTTTATTTTCAATTAACGATTATAAATAACAAGTATATGAAAAAGTCAGTACCAAAATACTTAAATACTATGAAATTATTTCTCGACGTTGGTTGATGTTAATATAATAAATAGTATTGTTTAGTGTGGTACGCTCAAAAATTATACAAAAAAATAATCCTTATTATACGAAAAAGTTGAAAACTTCGTGGTAAATAAATTTATCTACTTGAAAAATCCACTCTAAAAAAAAAAAAGTAATCAACTATTTTTTTTTTTTATGTAACTTCGTTATTTTCTGTCGTACAACAAATTAGTTGAATATAATTGGTTTGAAAATATATCAACGAGATAAACCATAAACGTGCCTTGTATTAAAATAACAATAAACTTATATTTGTGAAATATATAGAAAGTAATAACATAAATTTATTTATATAGCCTAACTTATACTGACATACAGTGAATGCTCGAGAAAAGAAATGATAACAGTGCATACCATTTTAGGGGGTATTTTTTACGTGGCCAAGTGGCTACTGCATTTTGTACAGTAAAGGTTGTTTGAGTCACTCTACTATATATATTAAATTTTAAGTCAATGTCATTGTATAATACAAAAAACGAGTATAAGTAAGGACGTTCTATCAGCCTATACCACAAAGTAAATTTCATTACATATTTTTTTTTTTTAATTTTTTTAAAGTAATTGAATAATTTCTAAAGTATTTTTACTGTCCCAAAAGATGATGATTAATGATAGACATAAAAAAAAATACATATCATTGTAAAATGAATACATTTATCACTCTGTTTCGAACATAAAATGTTTTTATATCATATTTCTACTAATTATTGAAGGAATATAATCTGTAATCAATAGTAACCATTTAAAAACATTCGATATTCTTGAGCCAAAATTAATGCATGTGTTATGCGCTCTTCATTAACCTAAACCTATATGGATTAAAAACATAAACTATAGATACTCTTTGATTTTAAGGCATCGATTGATATAACTTTTATAACAATTGAGTAGTATTCATATTTATATAAAACATACAAAACAAATTATTTTATAAATTTATTTTTATTTTAAAATTACTTATTTAAACTAGATGATTAGTTTAAAATCTTACCATAATGAATGTATATGTTATTAGAAATAGTTGGAAGATATTTAATCAAGTATTTAAGTAAAATATACGAATTTTAGTTTAAATATTTAATTTTTTTATCATATTATTATTTTTGTATAATATTATTGAAATAAAATTCTTAATCATATCATTTACCTTGAATTTCACATCAACATTAACCTAACTCTTATTTAAGATACATTTTTTTTTTTTTTTACATATTTTTAAATATAAAAATTCATATTATACTTTGAATATCGTGGATAAAAACGCAATATATGTTCAATTATAATTTGTCTGTATACATAGTGGAATTTAATTAAATATAACGAAATAGTTTCATTAAATTATTTTACTTCCAAAATCATAATTCATTCCCCCCCCCCCCATTTATATTTTTTTTTTAGGTTTCAAAAACTTGTAAACCAAATTGAGATTGTTAATAAAATGCACCTATTTCACCTATTTCTTTAATAAAATCCACGGAAATCTTCAGTTTAGACGGATAGATAGTAAAACGATTGATATTTTTTAACACATTTTATATTATGCTTAAAAGCAATGCTTTGCTGAGAATAAAATACTGTATTATACTTTTTCTAAGACACTAAGCAGTATAGGATGATTTTCATAAAACAAAATTGCGTTTTAAAAAATGTTACCACGTGATGTTGGATTTTTAAGTTATTTAAAATGTTGTGAAAAAAATAATACATGATGTAATGATATTTAAAAATGGTATACTTGCAATTATTTGGTGCTTTACATAGTTGTATAATATATAAATATAATGATACATATGTATGATGCGTCAATATATTATAATTTTTTACCTGACATTGAGTTTTTGGATCTGGATATATTTTTCCTGATCTATCACACACAAAACCCGTCAAATGGATTTTGTTAACGTCTGATTGAACATCTATGATTTGATTGATATTATGATTGAATTGGTTAACGTAAGGCCGATGGGCATCATGTAAATTCCAACTCTAAAATTAAAAGATATAATTGTACATATTAGTTATTGTAACTATAAATACTTATCGTATTTTTTTATAAATGTTATAAATCTTATTTTAACTTCAGTAATTAAATATTTTTATATTTTTACATATTTTTAACACAACACATTAAGAAATTTTTAACATGATATTTCTTAGTATTTATAATCAAAAATATTTCCAATAAATTTATTTTAAAGCTGTTATATAAATTAACTAATATTTATTAATACATACTTAAAAATAATTTGAATTTAGTTATTAGATAATGAAAAATAAAATCATATAAATATGCAACTACACTATATCATAAAATGATATGCATTTTAGCTAATATTATACGTATACAGTTCATTGAGGGTATTAAATTACAAATACATATATGTAAATTAAAGGTATTTTATATTCTTAGAAATTCTATAAAAAAAGTAGACGTAAATAATATTAAATCTACCTATACAATCCCCAAGTCATTTACTTAGGAATGTACTATAAATTATACATTGTATTTATAAAGGATAATATTATAATTATACACTAATACATTTAAAATGATGACTTGTATTAAATATTAATTATTTTGATAATCATTTTAGTAAAATTTGATCTCAGTTTAAAACTTATAGTTGGTAATCGGAAATTTAAAAATTTCACTAAATGTTTATATTATCACTTTATATATATATTATATTTTTAAAAATATATTAATTATTTTAGAACTATTTATGGGTAAATACAGTTTTTGATTTTTCAAAGTTTTTTTTTCTCGTAAATATCGATGAAAAATATATCAATAGGTATAAATGTTTGAAAATTTAATATGAAGTTATAACTTTAAGTTTATACCTAAGATCTTAAAATTAATTTCAAGCATTTTTATACGTTTTGTGGTTTATATAAAAAAAAATTACCGGAAAGTTAAATTAATTTTTTATGTTCCTGCATACCCTGTAATTTTTGGTGACATTTCAGGCTAATTGAATATTATAGCCATATAGATTAAATTAATATTTATAAAATTTGCAATTATATTAAATTTGTTATAACCAGTATTGTTTTTCACAGTCACCACTTTATCAGGAAGTGATAAATGGCGATTAACTGAAATATTCGATAAGTTCTTGGATTTTTTGGATATACTCAAAGAATACTAAATGGTTACTATTTGATAGGCAAAGTAGTTTGAAATGCATCAGTTTGAAAATAGTAATTTAATTACTAACTTTTTGGGTAAGTCACAAGATATTGTGATTGCAACTCAACAATACATAATGGCAATTAGAACATAAATTGTATTGTAATTAAACTAACATAATTAACTTATTTATTATTTATACATGATTTTATTCTAATTGGTTATTGACATCCATTATATGAAATCTGAAATTGGAGGAGGCATATCAAATATTTTATTTTATATTAATTAATAGTTATATGATTAAAATAATGATAAATTTAAGAAAAGCAAACATTTTTTAAAAATAAATGCTAAAACCTCTTGTGAATTCCAGGTTAGGAATATAGTTTACGTATAAATATTGAACACTCCTATGTAGTAAAAATTTAGAATTTTCATAAAATACTATCATTTTCTATACTTAATGTAACTTCCAATATATTTTGACTCGTTTTGAGCTATTTATAGGTATGAACAATTTTCGATTTTTTTTTTTTTTTATTTATTGATATCAATAAAAAAATATTTAATAAGTCGAAATTCATTAAAATTTAATACAAAATCTTTCATAGATTTTAACCTACGTTGTTCTTATATCTGTAAAAATTAAATTATTATATGCTTTTGAAGTTATAATTTTATCAAAGTTTATCAAAATCGTGAAAACAGCAATTTATTTTGTAGTTAAAAGTTCATAAAAACTTTTCATTTTATATCTAAGTTTTAAACATTTAATATTAAATTCTACGTAAGTCATACAACTACATTTTTATAGACATTTTAATTTTAAATTCGGCAGAATTACATATTTAAACAATAAATAACGTTATTAATTATTTTGTTATAGTTTAAAAAAAATATTCATGGGTTCTTAAAATTTTGACATGTATTACATAATTATAATTTTTACTATATGCGATAACATTTTTAATTTATTTTAAGATATTACCTAATTATTCTATGAACTAATTTTTATTATCTCACGGTTTTTACATTTTGAATTATATATAGGTTGATATAGTATGTTATAAATATATATAATTATAAAAATAAAATACTAATAATATAAATGCAATGTTTTCAAAAATAATTATATCAAACATGAACCTACCACAATAATAAAAAGTAAAATTAATAACGTTTTAATAGCTATATTAAAAAATATATATATATATATATGATGAAGTATACTTATTATCTATTAGTATAGGTTGAGAGATCGCCTGTGCTCAGAATCGTTTTTCATGAACAGTAATATATCATTAAACTCAAATCTAACACACCTTTAACAGTTACCCTTTTGACACATAATGTACAGCAAAGCAGTATTCACTTACCTTCATTTTATAAATATAAGAAACATCGAAATTGATAGATAGACCCATTTATGCTAAATATTGGCACTTGTTACTTAACCATTACTTGCTAAAAACGAAAAAATTACGATTCCTGCTTCTCCAGTATAAATTTTATAACCAAAAGTTTTAATTTTCAGGCAATATAAATTTAACATATTATCCACATAGGTATCACATATTACATTAAATATAACATGAATAGTATTTTGTAATTTGAAAATATTCGTAAAATATGTACTATAGACTTTGACTATAAAGTTATAATCTTCAATAACGAAAATATAAACTGTATCGCGGCTATCAAAATATTTGTCAAAGGCATAAAAAAACAAAATTAGGTGAAATTCAACTATTAATTACTTTTATAGCACTTACAGTTTAAATCGTTTTGATTATTCATTTAAAAAAATTATACTTTGATTCTACTACTAGACTTAAGTATTATTATTATTCATAATATATTATTATTATTCTTTTTAAAAAAATACAATAACCATCATAGAAATATATCGTATTTTATGTTTATTTTAAGAATTGATATTTACTAGAATTGATAAATTTAATTCTACTCTTGATTGTATTTCTCTTGTATTATTTTTTTCAGATAGTTGATGTCATACAAATTGAAATTTATCTATAAAAATTGTATTGAGCGCAAAATATTGATAGAAACAGTGTTCAAAGTAAGCTTATAAAATTTTTAACTTATATACATATAATATATAGATGTTGTACTTTTATTTTTTTCGATTACTTAAAAACAATTCAAATTATTCATTCATACAGATTCGTTTTATTTTTAATTTGTTTAATAAAAATTATTGAATATTGGTATAAATATATATATATATATATTAAACATTATGACATAAAAACAATTGAATTCTATTTAGTTTGAATATTTGGTAAATGTTTTTTAAATGATGTACTCGTAAGCTAGTCCTGTGTGAAATAATTTCTCATTATGATGCAATACCAATTGTTGGTACTGTCATGGAATTACTTTTAAAATACTTTAAATTAATATTTAAACATTTTAATTGTTTTCAAAATTTCATTAAAGTTGCCCATAATATATATGTATATGTATATATATTAATATAAAAATGAAAGTTTTTACAATTACCACAAATTAAATAGGGTTTATACAAAATTATATAAAATAAAATAAATAATTAAGTTAAGCTATTTATATTTTAAGAGATAAGCAGATTTTGGTAAAAAAGTCATCCAGTGAAGAAAACTTCATGACCTAAATTTAACCATTTAAATAGAGCGTATTTGACGTCATCTTTTTAAATTTTAATTGTTAATCATATGAAAAATAAATAATTAGGTACTAATTAGTGTCATACAAATATATCATGTCTATGCGTAATATTTACGGCATAATTATAACAACTAATAAAAGCTCAACAATTAGTTATTAAAAGTGTATATATTATTACTTACTTATAAAAATCAAGTAAAAAATTATAGTGTTAAAAATAACAAACCACATAATAATATCCCTGTTCTAATAATTGTAAACGAGAGCTCATGCATGCGTACAAAAACACAATATACATTGTCAATTAGATACGGAAATTGATAAAAAAAAAAATTGCTTTTTAATATTATGTTTCAATCTTTTACTGCACTGAATACTTTTTCAACATTAAAAAATACAGTTTACGAGTTCTATAACCAGATTTTAGAAAACAACTGTAATAGGTATTTTAATTTCTCTAATGGTTAAAAAAAAAATGTGTAAAGATATCCAATTCAAATTTATGGGTATTATTTCCGTAAATTGTTTACGATTTACTTTACATTAAGATAGTATATAAAAAAAAAAAATAATATATGAATATATATAAATACAAAAATAATTATTTATAAACTATACGAAGAGATAAGAATTTTCTTGTTAAAACAATAATATCGTGTATTCCTGTATAACATGCAGACATTTTGAAACAATTGTTGTTATAAGCACGTACACTATAGAATTGTTCTGTGAATATACATAACTTGTGTTATATTTTTTTATATGTACTTTATTATACGAATTTGAATGACAGAACATGATTATAGTAATTTATACATTTTGAATTTATTTTAATATTTATAAGTGAGCAACGAAGGTAGTGTTAGATAGTTATTCATAATAACAACACATATTTAGTATGTATAGAGCATACGCATATATTTTGATGATTATTATTATTTATTCAACTTATTACATGGAATGTATTTAAGAATTTTTTTTTTCCATAATTTTAAGTCTTTACTTACAGTTACAAAACAATATTTTTGAAAATAAATTATATTTTTTACTTTTATCATTTTTTATTTAATTTTTTTTTTTTTTGCTTTATGAATGAAGACATATATTTAAAAACATAATAACGAATACATATATTTAGTGCATATCCTACTGATACCTCATGAGTATTAAAGCTACGATTTTTTTAGAATTTGATTTCATTAGATCTTTCTAGCATTTCAGAAAAGAGGAAATATTCTAACACCAGTACTTTATTCAATTACTTTGAAACTGATGTCGAAATTTTGCAATGACTTTGCTACATTTTGTCATCAATTTAAGTTCGATTATACCTATTTTATTTTATGTAAAACAGTTAAACACATATAATATTTTAATTTTATAAATTTTAGACTCGATTAGTTTACTTTTCATTAATACCGAAACTCAATTAAATAGTATATATTTTTGAGCTAATGCAAATTCTTATACAAAACATCCGCTGGTAATAGTTTAAATACAAAAATATTATAATAAATACAAATAACCTCAGAATTTAAAACTAAAAACCTAAATTTATAGTTGTTGTGGTTAAAATGTGTTGCATATAAAAAAGTCCAGTCTTTTTTTAAAATTAAATACAGTCCGTATATATATATATATATATATATACGAGTATATATAAAAAAATACATACATTTATTAAACTATTTTTATTATATATACATATATGGTATGTTGGCTATAATATATATAATGTATTTTTGTCCATGTAAGAACTTATGTATATGTTACTACTTATTCGTTATGTTTAATATGAGAAGTTGTTGAACCCAATATTTTTTCTTCGTTTATGTATGAGATTTAATTAGTATACACTAGTTTATTGATTTTAAAAAGTTTCCTAAATAAAAATAAAAGTGCCTTAATTATAACTTACCGGTAATATAGGGTATAACGGAACCCCTATTTGTCCCACAATGGGTGCTAAAGATAACTGTCCACTCCCAAAAACTTGATGAACAGACAGCTGTAGTGTTTCTGGTACCGGTCTAAATTTAGGTAAATGATAATTATTCTTATTTGAGGGTATTAATATTCTATACGTGGATTCAACTTCATTTTCAGCCTCGTACTTGCCTTCTGAAGGTACAAACCTAATTTTAAAACATGTATTAAAATTGTACATTTTGTTATGTCTTGTTTTTAATTTATAAACAAATTCATAATATGTGTATATATTATATTAGCAATAAAATATCAAAGTAATTTCTGTGCGTATGTTATCACATATATTTATTTATTTAATTATAATATTAAAATCAACACCTACCTAGTCGTTAACCAAGTAAGTATTATTTGTATTAGCTTATATAATGTATGCATTTGACAGAAGCAATAAATGTATGTATAAGTACTTAAAGCACTTAACACTATTATTTACTTTAGTACGTATATGAGTAGAACGTTAACCAATCGTAAAATTTAAATTTTACATACCATATTAAATCTATATGTATTATAATTTATAATGAATTACGATAATCCATGTTTATTATACATACGCCTATGTGCTGTTGCTTACCTGCCGTCTGGCATTTGGATCATTTTGACTACTGAGTTGTGTAATTCCGGATCGTTCCGGTGACTTTGGTGGAACGATTCTTTGGGTCTGGCTTCGAACAGAATACCATCCGGTATGGATATACCTTCTTTATTTAACATATTTAATGCCAAGCGGTCTGCATGAAACGCAGAATCTGGTATTTTACCACCAAAATATGGCAACACATTCTCACGGAACAACTGACGCTTTTGCTGTAAACAAAATTAGCACAAAATGTCATCACTAAAATAAAAACAAACTAAATGACAATTTATATGACACTTAATGTAAATAAATATTATATATATGTATATAATTTTGTCATTGTTAAAATTACATCTAAAATTAATAACAAATTAGGTTTTTGAAAATAAAAATAATGCAAGTAATATTGCCACAGCCGTAACCACACGACTATTCAGGCACAAGATTTGTATAAAATTAATTAAATTGTTTCAATAATTATAACATTAAATGATTAGGTGTAAAGAAATATCTATGCTTAATAATTCTGTAGTTCATATATATTTTTCTAATCTAATCGAATTTAAATTTGTTTATATAAAATTAAAAAGATATAATAATAACTAATAGATGGAATATAAATATGTCGGTAAGTTATATTAAATGTTGTTTCATTTTTATGATCATAATAATTGCTTTTATTGTGATGTAATATTGAACGAATACTGTTATTATATCACATAAATATTTACTGCACGATTAAAATACAATAGACAGATTCATAAAATTACAGATAGTTATTTTTTTAACTTATTTTTAATAATTTTCATACGTAATGAATATTAAACTTATAAACGTATATTCTAATATTCAATAATATATAAATAATTTAAAGCAGTAGGTATAAACTTAAATATTAAATTTATAAATTATTATAGTTATATAACTATATAAGAAAACACACACACACGTATATACGATTCATTTACATTATACTAGTGAGGATAACATAGATATTTGGTTGAATTTTAATTTTCTGTGGATTAACAAATAAAATCGTCTAAAACAAAAAAGTTATATCTTACATTTTGATAAACGATTTTATTTTTCTATTTGTGAGTGCGGTCACCACGGGGTATAAAATGTCCAAATACGGTCCTGCCTTGGTGTAACATGAGCTATGAGTGTACCATATATTTAATACCAAGAGTTAAGTGTTTTATCTATAAAGATAAAAAGATAAACTTAAGTTAGTACTAAAAATAATGTTTGTAGTAAATACACAAATTTTCAACTAAAACCTTACCCCACATTTCTCTCCAAATCTGCTCGTAAATCATTTAGTACACATTCACATATATTGTACGACGTCGTGAAATTGATTTATTCCTAAACGCTATACTCGCCAAAACTTTGAAACAAAATCTGTTTGTGTGTAATTTTGTATTGAATATTAATTATTATACATGAATTTCAATAACTGTGCATTCCAACCGATTTGAAAACGAAGAAGTTCGTTCAACACAGTGCATTTTTCTTTTTCTTGATAAATAATTACGAGTTAAATTATTTATTGTGAAGATTTACTTTGGTTTGCGGTGGTCATGGATCGAGTTGTAATATGGCACATTAGCATCGCTATATTATTATCACTATCATCATAGTGTAACTACTGTACAGACAAACCTATGTTCGCTAGATATAAAGAAAGTACAAAGTGAAATAATAGTTTGAGAACCGCTACTAAAAAACAAAATTACTTCCTAGAAATACATATATCATGTAACCAGCAAACCGCATCGAAAAGCGCCCGTAGTAATACTCGTATAAAAACATATCAAACAGGGTAGATGAAAAAAAAAATCATAAGTTTATTAAACCATATTATTGTAATATTCTCCGACAATTTAATTCTTTATTTCACATAGAAATTCTGTTCAAAGTTCAAACTACCCAACTCGTGTTGCTATTATAACTAAATCCAAAACTATACCAAAGACTCAATACTTTGTATGGACTCTCTCAGTAAAACTGACAATACAAAAAAAAAAAAAAATTAAAATCCATCAAATATTAATCTATACATTCAAAATAAAATTTACAATCAAGAAAATAGAAATTACAAAATAAAACACTTTTAGATCCCTAGACACTTCAACATAAAATTAAAAAAAAAACCGAACAAGTATCTAAGAATAAAATAATATCTGTGTGGCCTAGTCTGGCGCGATGGTAGCCTCGGTCACTAATGTGTTCCGAGGTCAAACATCGGCCGGCGTCGCTAGCTCTCGGATGGGTGATCACCCGAGTTTTTAATGACGAATCCATGGCACACACACATACACCCACATGTACCAACCCTGCTAACCAAACCTTACACAAAATACCTATTGTTCTTATGCACAACTAATGGCCTTAGTTACCGTGCTTAAATAAAATTAAAAAAAAAAAAAATCATATCTCATTAATTCTTATTAACAAAAATAAACTCCTTCAGAGATATACAAATATTAGTAAAAAATCAATATATTATTTTAATTTAGTAGTATCAACAATGGATATCTCATTATATTAAACTCAATAAATTTAAACAAAATATTATATCAATTACACGTTTTCTTTTGAAATAGAAAATTTGAAGTCATTCTTACTCGTCTTTTAGAATGTGACATACAAAATTCTCTTGCAGGTCTTTAATGCCTATAGAAGATGCCAAACTCACCAGAATATCAGAACTAATTTAAATTTTCCAAACTCATCCACCGAAATACTTAATAATTATTTTCAATCAATTCTACCACAATGAAATTCATAATCATCACCTCTCAACTACAAAATCAAAATCATTGTTTTTTTGTATTTCGTATACGAATTTGTTAAAAAAAATATAATCCCCATGGTCTATGTCACCGAGGGCTTAAAATAATAATGCGAAAAAAATCTTTATTCTTAGGTTTAATTTATTGAACACTATTTTCTTTGATTTGAATCTATTATGTGATGTAACTTTTAAAACATTTCATACCTCAAAAAAAAAAAAAAAATCGTACTGCAAACTGAATTTATAATATATACAACAAAGTACTGAAGCAACAATAATATCATGATGTTCTATGTTACAATAAAAAAAAAAAAAGTTACCACCTCTTCAACATCGAGGAAGTATATATTTTTGTTTTGAAAATATCACTTTTTACGAGTTAATCTGTCATTGACATTTGAAAAGAGTACACAGCAATTATAAAGCTAAGCGTCACATTTTTATTTTATTATTAAAATATCACATTTAAAATGTAAATGTCAAGTACACTATTATGTTTATATTAATATGGAAACATATTATGGTAAATCTTAATTATTTATTTCTAATAACGGCTTTGGTTGACTATATATAAGAACAAAAATATTGTAAGGCATACATTTGGTCATTACTTTCACCCACCCTCTTTCTTCTTCTATCCATATTATGAGTGTATTTATAAAGTTAATATTTTTGGAAGTTTTAAGTATAGGTATTTTATAATTTTAGATTTGTTATACTATTTAAAGAATATCGTGTTTGGTGATATTTTTTTTTGAAATGATAACCACCCTTTTTTATTGTAAATTGTTAAGCAAACGATTTTTTTTTTTTTTGTTAATGTTGGTTATAAGTTGATATGTAGGAATTTTTACGTACATTTTAACATATATATAAAATTAAGTATTTTAGAATATTACTGATTATGCCTAAACAATTTTTAAGAACTATAAATAATCATAATATGTACAATATATACCTCTAACTAACTTAAATGTATGAGCTAAATTTTAAATTAAATGACAAATTGTTTCATACGAAAAAGATTCTAAACAAATATATTTTATGATATATAATTATTATATATGTAATTTTTTATATAATTATTTATTTTATTATAATATTTTATTTTTTAATAAAAAATTAATTTTTTAAAATTTAGAATATTGCGCTTATAAGAAGTATTGGAAAATAATCTTATGCGGCAATACTAAGTTGTACAGCAGGGACAAGACTAGCTTCAGAAGGTATATCTTATGATGAAAAGAAAAATTAGAGAAAAAAAAAGAGGATATTGAAGCACTATTTTAATTATATGTACCAGATTATTTGAATTAGAAATAGAATATGGCTTGCTGAAACACAAATATATAAGAGAACAAATTTCTCTGTGTAACAATAAATGTTTAGATCAGAATGAAGTTATGAAAAAAATTAAATATAAGGAAATAACTATACGCGAAGCCGCAAGACAAAGAATAGTTGGTCATCAAAAATTCAATCGATGTAACTGCAAAATTGGATATGGTATTAAAAAATGTGCTTGCAATGCAGCGAAAATATTATGTATTCAAAATATCATAGTTATAATAATTGCACTAATAAATAATTTATATTGTACATCTATTTAATTGATTTAAATTAACCTACTAATTAAGTAGTAAGAAAATAATAAATTGTGTTTTTTTTTAATAATAAAAAAATGAAGAAGCATTGATATATAGGTTTTTAGTTCTAATATTTAATTTTCGTTCAATTAATTAATAAACTATTAGCATAATGCAAATATATATTTAATAAAATATGAATATTGTACATAATATGTTGAATTCAATAACTCATTTAATAAAAGTTAAAAAATATTATTATTAGCGTTTGATTAGGAATAATTACAAAAAACTCTACAGTTCTATGTTAGAACGACGTCCTTTGGATATCAAAATTTTGAATACGTTCTGACCGATAGAATGTTTTTCCTATTTTAAGCTGATAATAATGTTGATGATAAGTGACAATGAAACAACATGAAATGAGAAATAACTCACAAATAGATAATATAACGTATTATAAAGCGTTTATTACAGAAAATAGGTACCTATAACATTATACGACATTATGTGTTAGGTACGTAAAACAATGCTTAAACTTCTTTAAATTCAGTAATTTTTCATAAATATATATTATAATAAATCGTGTTTAAAGGTACCTAAAACATTATACGTCATTATGTGTTACATACAACAATGCTTAAACTTCTTTAAATTGAGTCATTTTTCATAAATATATATTATAATAAATCGTCTTTAAACAAATCAAATGACATTTTGTTGTATGTGTTATAAGTTAATATTTATATATTAAGATTTAAATAGTCATATTTATATAATATTAAATTATTTCTTAAAAGTAATAACTTACGAAATTATGACATATTCACATTGTACGTATAATAGGAAAATATTACAAATTATTACTTGAATAATATTGATAATTAGTACTTGAAAGTTAAATTTAAGTGCATATTTAAATTATAAATTATATAAATAATGTTATCATCTATTTATGTTCGTACCAAAACTAAAATAGGAAGAGATAAAGAGAGAAAATTATTATTTATCTAAACTAACTTACTATAGTTGTACATCAATAACTTTTGTTAATATCACACTATTATTCTAGATCAGTTTGACATAATATACCTACAAAACATAGTTATAACTTATATTTTTAAATACTGTTAGCAACAGTGTTATTTAAGTTATATAATTCTCAAATGAACTAGGTTTTTAACTATGCGAATTATTGGCAGCTAAAAGTCATTTATATTGTTCGATATTTGCTTTGACAATAATATAATATGTAAATAGATTTGTTGTTTTACATTATTGTAAATCACGTCATTCTACTATTTGATACTAATATAACTGTGCTATAACTACTTAACTATAAATAGAAATCGTCAATTTAATTGATTGAATACGTCAATCAGAGATTGTTTATACCATTTGTACTCTGTTGTTTCAAGTAGTGTAAGAAAAAAAATTACTTAATTATATTTTGAGTTTAATCTTTAACCGAACCATAGTAAGAATACTGAGGTGATATGGAACTTAGGATTTGCGTTGCAATGACTTATCTCGCTATCAACCCTTCTTGATTCTATATATTTCGACGGGTAGTTAAATTATAACGATTATAACACTTACTTTTTTTGACGTGCACGCATTGTTGAGAATCAACGTTACAATAAATGTTACGCGGAGTACCGTCGATGACCAGTCCGGTCGCATGGCACTGCCGCCGGAAGAGCAGTAAGTCGATCGTCCCAGAGCTTCTGGTTACGAGGCAGGCTAATGTTTGATCCGTTATTTTAATAAAATAAAAAAAATAAACAAAAACAAAAAACACCCGAATTCACGGTGATTTGATTACAAAACCAATCGTTGACAAAGATACCTACGCACTAAGGAAAATACAAATTAATTATTATTACAATATTCCCCGTGTATACGGGTTCGGTATAATACTTCGTTCGATCGCTTCCTATTCAGATACGGCTGATTACGAACCGCGCGCTCAGACGTGAACAGGTAAATTAACGGTCGTCTGTACGGTTATGGCAGATTTTTATTGACGGAAGACATAGGTATCGCTTGGAACAGATGGGTAGGGAACGCAAAGTGGAGTGGCTTGGAAGGGGAGTGTGTCTTTGGTACAATGTAGGTACCATCTGATGTCGTCCGCCATAAATATTGCATTGTATTGTACATTGTTATGTTATTAATTATCTATTATAATATTTTCATACGGGTAAATTGCATATTATTATAATTACATAAAATACGTTCACTGAAGGACTTAATTTCTTCAGCCAAGTACCGCAAACGCGGTTCATTTTCCATCCCATCATGCCGGGGTATGCAGTGGTGACGTTTGTTTGTGCACACGATAAACGAAAAACGTGAAAACTTGTCTATACAAATTTTAATTTATACAATAACGACTTATTAAATCTTATTTCCAGTTTAGACTAATATTGTAACTTAAAGTATCTAACACAATATAATGATACGATTTATCTTAAACATTTCAATAAAATACAGGTATTAATTGAATCAAGAATAATCAAATTACAAACATTTGTAGGTGATAATTCGACAACATTTTGAGTAATTATAAATTTTTAAATGCTTATTTTAGTTAAACGTGTAATGTTATCGAAATACGAGAATCTCTTTGTACGTTTTTTTTAAGTCTTAGCTATACTTCATTGTACGCAAACAGTTCTACATTTGAGTTATTTAATATGTAAAGTATTAAAAATTCGTGTGCACAATCGAGTTTGGTTTGTGTGCTAATGAGTCGTATAAAAAGATAAATGCACGCAAACGGGTATTCGTTCGTATGCAGTTGAATCACAAATTTATTAAAAAAAGAACTTATAGCAGAAAGGTCCAGGAGCTAAAATTGTTAGAAAAATATAGCGTATAATCTTAGTGCGTAAATACCCATTAATAGTAAGAGAAAGAGAGACGTTTAACAAAAAAAGATAACATTTTTAGAAAATGATAGCATACACTTATTGTCCCATCGTAATATTATCAAATGTATTGAATATTTCAAATAATGTGGATATTTAGTAATCTACAGTATGGAATAGGAGATGTGCAGTCAATATATTTATGGGTCAAGTAATCTTTGAACGAGACCTTGTATCTTTTATACCTACCTTAATCGTTTTATTTTTATGACCGGAACGATTAGACACCCGCATGCACCGACGTCTGCTAAATCCTCGTGCCGGATCGCCCGGATAGCTCAGATCAGACTAGTGTTTTTTCGGCTGCCGAAAATACACAATCGATCGGCAAACAACCGAGACATCGATAATTAACGTATAAACCGTGTTGGAGCGTCTAGACTAGACCGTTTTTCCAAACCGTCCAAAATCGGTCTGGAATAATCCACACACTGTTGCGATTTGGTAGCGACAATGCGTTTCCGCCGGACACTCCAATACATTAATTTGTACAGGGCCGTGTATACTGTGGGTTTTCGGTTGCCGTTATTTTTTGAATAGTATACTTTGCAGTTTTTTTTTCTCAAAAATCTCATCTTGGTTGAAAGTAGCTGAAGCAGTATACAATTTGGAATAAAAGATAACTTAAAAGCTGCTGCAAAAAAAGAAAAAAATAAGACAATTAATCGTACGATTATAAATAGGTTAAATAGGTATAAATATAAAAAATAAAACAATACTTTTGAATATAATAGTAAAGGTAAGTATTCAAATAAATAATAATAGACCGTGGCCTGTAGGTATTATTTATAAATTTGTATACAACTAAACAAATATACTATATCTACTTATGTTATAATGTATTATGTTCTGTTTAATATGAAATTTTAAAGACAAAAATATGGAGAGCACAACAATTTTTTACAATATCTTCGCAAAAATCTTGTTTTGTTTCGCAATACTTGCATTTATTGGTCAAAACTCCAAAATCACATTTCACGGTAAGTCTTGCACTCTTGCTCTCGATAACTTATAGTTAAACATCTGGCGAGTGTTATTAAGTTCACGGCCTAGAAATGGTCTTAATAAATTTGCGTGAAAACCAAACATTTTATCAGCAACAAAAACATATAATAGCTGAATATTATTTTCGATTAAAGGCAATGTAACTGGGTCTAGAATTTGAAGTTGCTGTGAGTATAACATTTTTCTAAACAGACTCTGACAAAAAATGCTAGAATCGGCTTCACGACTGTATACTCCTACGTCTATATGATGAAATTTGAATTAGTATCGACCACTGCCATTAATATTATTGAAAAATATTTTTATAATCATAGAAGAGAGAACCAGAGTTCTTAATTTTGTAATGATATTTAAAATAAATAATAGAGTTTTATTTAAAATAATTGTTTTAATATAAGTACCTACTTAATAGTAATAAGTATCCATAGGTGGCCGCAGACTTCTGAGTCAGGTATGGCTAAATTCAATTTGACCACCCACTCTCCCCGCCGTCACGGTCGTACAAGAAAAAAATTATGCCTATGAGCAACCAGCATATCTCTAATCGTGCATATATCTATGATTTTGATTTATTTTGTTATCAATTTTCAACGGCTTTAATGCCTTATTACTTTTTTAGGTACCAAGTACCTACCCTCTTATAAAAAAAAAAGGCTCAGATGGAGCTAAAGCCCAATCAACCCTACCCGTGCGCACGCCTATGTAAGTATCACTAACCATTAATATATTATGACATGGTTTTGGATGTATATTATCACCGAGCGAAGCAAAGATATATTAGTTTTACAACTGAATGCTCAAAAAAATACATTTGTTTCTGAAAAACTTATTTTTTTTTTTTTTTTGTAGAATAAATGCTATTAACATATTTGTAGATAGAGGTTTTTGTTGTAAAAGAAGACATTTTCTAGTTACTTATTATATCAGCTAATATTAAATAAATAATAATGTGATGTGTTTTAGTCATTACATAATATTATACGTTTTATATAGATAACGTAAATAAAAAAATAAAAATAAAACTAATATTAAAAATTGTTTAAATGTTACCTCAAAGTCACTGTCAACTGTTCTTCCGGACTTATAGGATTTCGGAGGTGCGTAATTTCTTTTGTTAAATTTAGTTAGACCTTTTCGAGCAATTCTTCATACAATTGAATTGACATACGATAGTAGTCTAAAAACTTATCAGGATATTTTTTTAAATTGTCATAAAATAATTGAAATTTCATGTCATATTCTTCACTTCTGTGTAATAGATGGACCCAATACCTTTTGTGCTTCTGTGCTGGTTTTCAAGTTCACCAACAGTTTTGGCCACACAAATTAATTCCAGAAGAGAGCTCACTTCTATGTATAGTTATAATTGCAATTACAATATATTTGAATTGTAAGTTAAAACAATTATATTTTGAATTTATAAGCACTTACCTAATTTAAAATATCTTTCTTAAATAATGGAAATTATAAAAACACTATTGCTTTAATTTTTATGTAAAATATGAAGTATGGTAATATTAATAATTACAATTATACATGCTTTTAAATGTACAAGTGAACACGTTTGTTGTACAGACTGAACAGACTGAAGTGTCAAACAACGTGTTGGAAAGTTTTATTTTCATGAATTCATTATGATTATAAATAATAATATTAAGTAAATTTTTTTTGAAATCAAAAATTAGCTTAACTATTTATATTCAATTTCAAATTAACAACGATTTCTGCGCTTTTTAATCTTGTTTTAAGATAATCAGTAGCCAATAAAACGCATAGTCTGAACGATCGTGCCAATTGCGGTTCGGTTTTTATCGATAAACCACTAATCTGATCCGGCACGTAGTGTTCAACGATTATAATTCGAAATTTAGCTGCTGTCGCAAGCTATGCGATAGGCTAGTATATGATCACGGCTTTTAAAGTTAAGTTTTTGCATAATTACTGTGTAATATTATAATAGTATTATATTATATTATATTAGATATATAAATATACACGAGTGACATGATTATCCTCGTCCCGAAAATGCTACCTATAATCGCACCATAATAAAAGTTTAATTCTGATTGTAAAGTCAAAATAGTTACAAAATCCAATAATGAACCCAAAGAAAACGTATTTATAAGTATGATTCCATTTTGTGCAATAATGAAAAATATAAATGCATATAAATATATATATATATATATATATATTCTCTATCCAGCGAAGAATACACCAGTCATATGGAAATTGGTTCTTCTACGTATCTCACGTGACACCCAGCTCTTTACGGTGAGATGTTGGGATATTTATTTGGACCAATCAAAACTTTTACTTTCCTCTATTGAAGACGGAAATGATGCCACTATAGTTTAAAATATAGCGAGTGATTCTCTTATCAAACTACACTGATTATTTCAAAATCTGATTAAGTTTAAGTTTTATACACAATTCTCAGTCAGTCAAAATGAAACAATTTTTTTTTATTGTTATAGTTTTTTAAGTGTTTTACTGTTTTTAATAACAACATGCATTTTTAATTTTATATTCTATAACTGAATATTATCTTTTAAGTATTTTGATACATAAAAGCCGAAACTTGGACAAGTAGTTTATGAATTATATAATTATTTAAAGTTCAAATAAGCGTTGTAGTAGACAAACAAGGGTATCCCCGTACCTCACCAATCCTTAAAATACTTATAACTCATAAACTATTCATCCGATTTTCGATTTTTATACATCAAAATACTTTAAAAATTATTTTGCTTAAGAATATGGAGTAAACATTATGTTGGCAAAATACGAAACTTAAAAAAAAAATAACGATAAAAAAAAATGTTATTTTGTTTTGAATAGAAATTATGTATGTCAATAAAAATGTTTAAAACATGAATATAATTCGAAATAATGAGTGTTATTCAATAATTGAACCACTTTATATTACATATTAGAATGTGCACTACACGTCAATACTTAACTTCACTAAAATGAAACCATCAAAGCTATTAGTTAAAAATACGTACCTATTAAAATTAATATTTATTGATTTTTTTTATATTGTTAAA